AAAATCAGGAATGGATGTGTGGGACTCACTTTACAACCATCACAATTTACGACTGTAAATTACAGAGCTCACTTATGGCTGTAAGGACTACCTCGATATTGTGGGTATCACAGGTTTCCTTTCCCTGTTTCAGAGGAACCTTCCTCAACTGTAGTCTTAGAACTGAGATCCAGATTCTCCAACCTGCATGGCTGTGGCTGATTCATCAGAGGAAATGACCAGACTTACAATCAGGCAGGCAAAAGAAGAGATACAATAGCTGCAATCCTGCTAGGAATTAAAACAGTCAAAATTCTAAGTTGGTGGGGGGGCGGGGTGGAATTAGTAGTCATGTATTGTTTCCCCTTTAGGGACAGGGCCTTCTGCATTGTAGGAACCTTTGCACATAGCCTCAATTTGCAGCTTTGTCACAGGCCAGCTGAGTTCAGAACAGAGAATCACTTGCATTTAATATGCTGGCCTATATTGTTCCTTATTATTAATGTACTGTTTATTCTTTTTCTTCCTAATATTTTCCTGCAAAAGTTGAGCTTTATTGAATGTGTTGATTTATTGGTTGCAACAGAAATTGACCAACCAGCTTGTCACCCAAGCCTAATGTCATAGGCTCAGAGTGAGTGACTGGCTCAAAGTCACCCAGCCACGTTTCATGCTCGAGGTGGCACTAGAACTCACCATCTTCTGGTTTTTAGCCTGGTTCCTTAACCACTACACCAGACCAGCCTTCCCATTCATATACTGGGTATGAGGCACCTAAAAAGGGTTTGCAGTTGTTTCATTTTCCTTCCTTTTGTGGTAGCTGCTTCGTTTTCATCATGATGCAGCATTTTCTTTTGTCAAACCTGCCCCTTCTTCCCTAAGAGAACCAAGACTTTCCCATCATCTCCAATCCAGAACCTCAAGACCTGCTTAGGTGCCATCTTTTACAGCAACTTTCATCCCTTCTGAGAGGTAGAAGTATATGTCAAGCTTAGAGGAACCTGGCCACTAGCTGTTTGTGGTGGTGAGTGTATGTGGTTTTTTTTTAATACACATGTTCTGGATCAAGGTCCATCTTTTCATGGAGAAATGAGCTCAAACAGCCAACCCACTGCCTAACTCCTCCCCACATTTTTCAGCCCACAGCCCTCTCCCTGCTTTTTGGAGTCAGCAGACCACTACATCCTACATGTACTTTGCCTCATAATCCACATCAAATAATGAAATCTATGACATAATATATACATGACTCACAATCAAACAACCTACCTTCTCCTATTTCCTACTCCTCTGAAGGGATTCCTTGACTTACCCAGATTTTTTTTTGCCAATGCCTCTCTTCCTGCTCCTTCTATGAAATCTTCTTCCTGTACCCCATAGATCCACAAATATTCTCTCTTCGCTTTCCCTGGCCTCTGAGGTCACACCTATACGTGGTGCAACATTCCTCTAGACACCCCACCGAGCTATTTCTTCGACCTGCACAAAACCTTCTGGATTTCCTCTTGCCCACCAATTGTCCGGATTCTTCTTCTGCTGTCTTTTGGCGTCTGCTCCTTAGATCTCGCTGTGTCTTTTCTCACAGTCCTATCTGCTCAGATGGGCTGTTCTTGCTCTGTGACTATCCAATTATAAACATCTGGAGGCTATTTTTAAACCACTGAATTAAGCATGAGATAGGCAGGAAAGCCTGTCACTCAGAAGACGTAAGACTGACGCATCGGGGTTTTTTTTCTCCCTTCTGCCTTCACTCCCAATTCTGATGTAACTAACTCCTCACTTTGCATTTCCTTGTGGAGTAGTAATGCAATCTACAAACCTTAATCCAATCCACATATCCTTTGCTGATTAGCCAATTGCTGCATGCTTATAAATTCTTCTCCCCAATGTGACAATCAACCAGGCAAGGAACTTTGAAAACCACTGATTCCGCCCCCCCCCCCCAAAAAAAATAATAATATTTGACTCTTATTCTAGCAACACTAAAATGCATTGCCATTTTTCAGTTCCTTCTCCTCCTTTGATGAAAGAGAGACTGCAACATCACTGGAGAAACTGGGGAAACATTTGCAGAAGTTTGTGCTGTGTTGTTTCTTCTTTTTTTTGGAAAACTTTTTTTTATTTTTTAATTATTTAAATACATCTTTGAGAGAACAGTGTGATTCCAGGTGTTACATCTTTGAGAGAACTGTGATTCCAGGTGTTTTACATTTTAAACCAGCCATATCCATAGTCACAGATACAGCTTTCTAACATCACATCATTGTTTATTACCAATTTTAATTCTTTATATTCTATGAATTACTTTATATCAGTCAATCAATCACTATCTTCCTTGATCATATACTTACATTCAACAGGTTTACAGTTTAATCTATTCATATCATTTCATTGATCATTCAATGTTTCATCTTAATTTATATTATCCCCTATTAAATCCCCTTTCCAATATTATTACATATGTTTTATGTGTTTCCTTCCCTCTAACTTCTCATTTTTACGCAAATATATTTTCCATCTTATTTTCTTTAGCCAACAATATAACAATACATCCTCATTTCCTTGTTCAAGTGGATAATAAAATATTTAATTCATTAGAAACATTCTAATCAATCTCTAACTTCCTTTATCATATATTCTTATGGTCACCATGTTTGCAATTTAATCTATTCATACCATTCATTGACCATTCAACATTTCATCTTAATTTACATTATCCCCTATTATGTCTCCCCCCCCCCACAATATTACATTTGCCACTGTTGCATATATTTTATTTTCTATATGTTCCCTTCCCTCTAATAAAGTAATGGCTAACCTTTTTGGGCTCCTGTGCCAAAAATTGTGCTTGCGCCCGCGCGCTTGCATGCCACCACCCAGAGGCAATGCATGCGGCCCACCACCACCTGCACATGTGGGTGCAATCCCTTCCTCCCCCCACCTTACCTGCACTGCGCCTCCCACCTGATTTTAGGGCTGTTTGAGGCCTTTTTCAGCCACCCAGAGGCTTGAGGGAAGCCTCTGCAGCCTGGAAATGATGAAACGGGCCTATTTTGGGGCCTGCAAAGGCTGCAGAGATTACCCCCAAGCCTCTGGAAGGCCAAAAAAGGCCTCAAACAGACCGAAAATCAACTGGGAGGCGCACACGCATATGCAGTGAGATAAGTTTGCTTGGGGCTCACGTGCCCACACAAATGGCTCTATGTGCCACCTGTGGCACGTGTGCCATAGGTTCACCATCATGGCTCTAACATTTCATTTTTATCCAAATACATTTTCTTTTAGCCAATAGTATCAAATTTATAACATTATAACCTCGTTACCTTATATATATGAATAACAAAATATATAATTCATTAAAAATATTATTCTACTATATGGTTATGTCTACTCCCTGTCAAGCTCCACATAACATTTCCTTTCATATCTTAAATATTGGTCACTTTTATCTTCCATATACATTTATCTATCTTACTTGGTTTATTATAAATTCTTATCTTCATATCTATTCCATTTTAATTATTCCTTCTTATTCTTATTCTAGTTCTTACTCCAAGTTCCTCAGATTCTATTTTACATATTTTACTGCTAAAATATCCCTTCTTTTCCATTTCTAACCATTATCTCTAAGTCTCCCTTTTATATTGATTCGTTGTTTCTTTGCTTACTTCCCATTTTCTACCATCTTTTGGGCTTTTTCCCTTAATCCTTCCTCTATTCTTTATCATTTTCTGATATTTTTTCTCCCATTTCTCAAAGTTTATTTCCACTCTCTTCTGATCTCCTTTCTGTAATTTCCTAACCATTTCGTTTATCAGCATTCCAATCTCAGTATTCCCCCCCTTATTTATTGCATCTATCATTAATATCTCAAGTTCAATTTCTCTTTTCTTCTTTTGTATTATTTGTTGCTCCTTTTGTTCCATTTCACTGGTTTCTCTTTCTTCTAGCTCCTCCCCCTTCTTTTTTCTTCTTCTGCTATCGTCACCATTTCTGATTTTTTCTCTATGTTTTGTATTTTTGTGCATAAATCCAACATTCTGTCCCACATCTCATTCATGGCTCAAAGGTCCATCTTTATTTCTTTACATATTTCACTCATCTTTGTATTACTTATTATTCCAATTGTCCAGTATCCAGTAAGTTTTATTTTATTTGAACTAGTGTCTCTTTTTTAATATCAATATTCTCAAATCTTTATTTCCCAATGTTAACCAATCCAAATCACCAATAATTCCATGGGTAATATCCTCTTGTATTCCTTAGTTATAATATATTTCAGCTTCCAGGAGTCTTATTGTAGTGTCTTTCTTTTATTCCTTTTTAATTTCTCCTTTTGATTAAATTTAGTTTGAAGGGATTTGCAGGATTTTTCTTTCATCAACAAGTGGCACTTTAATCCAGTTTCATAGCCACCCTTTTCCTATTTCTTTAAAATAGCTTCGCCAATTTTTAAAAATCAAATATTATTTCTCTTTTAGAACAATTATTTTCAGCATTCAAATTAATGCTTTCCCATGAAAAATCCTGTCCAATCGACAATTCTGAACTAGTGTTCTTCCAAATTTATTCCTTTTAAAATTTTAAACTGTTTATATTTCCTAATTCTTCTTCTGTCATCCAAGCCACCACTGACACAATTCTATATTCTTCTCTGTTATAGTCTTTTTGGGGTAGGTAAAAATAAAATTGATTCTTCTCACCCTTCTCCAGGCACCGTTCCCAATCTCCAATCCAGCACTTTGCTTAGATGTTCCTCAGCTGTCCCAACACTGTAGCGGCCATCTTGGCCCACTCTTCTCTCCATTGTGGCGTAGAGACCAAGCTTGGGGTTTCCACAAGGAAGTTGCGTTTTCCCTCGGAACCTCACCAGGTGCCTCTCCTTAGCTTTGCCACCCTTCCAAGGCAGCTTTCGGTTCTTTCCGGAGCCCACAAGTGGCGAGAAGCTAGCGTAGGCATGGAGACCTCTGTCCGGTGCTTCTGGTCTCATCGTGACATCACCTGGAAGTCTGTGCTGTGTTGTTCCTTAAAGTCCTACGGCTTCCATCTACTGCTTAGTGACTAGGTTGGAAATACGCATTAAAAACATCTTCCTAGGTGTGGAGTAGTACAGTGAATGATATATACATTTAAAAAGATCAGTTATATCTATCATAGTTGTCAATTTGAATTATGAATTTGAATTTGAATTATGAAAGCTCATTTCTGTGGTATATGTACTGTCTGTTTGTAAGCAAAACCACTCCCCATCTCAATGCCTTTGAAAATCTGGGGATAGGTGAAGACGTTACTGGGCTAAGTTTTCTTCCCATCCTGTGCAAAAGGCCTTTCTTAGCCCTGCTCCTTGTAAAGCAAATTTGGCAGAGCAAGACAGAACATAGTTATAGGTAACTCTCAACTTATGATTACAATTGGACCAGAATTTTTGTTGCTAAGCAAGGCAGTTGTTAAGTGAGTCATGCCTGAATTTACAATCATTTTGCCATGGTTGTTAAGCAAATCACTGCATCTGTTAAACAAACCATGCAGTCATTAAGCAAATCTGGCTTCCTCCATTGATTAGTCACTATGGAGATTCTCATCCAGGTCATGGTTGTCCCAAAAGTGCTTTTTCAAGAGGTAACTGGAGCTGAAGAAGCTTCTTGGATGAGAAGCAAAACATTTTCAAAGAAAAACAAAGTCCAGTTGCCTCTTGAAAAAGCACCTATGGGTTCCCTCATTGATGTTACTTGTCAGGAACCCCCAGGATGCTGTATCCGTCATAAATACATGCTGATTGCAAAGTGCCCAGATTTTGCTCAAATAACCATGGAGATGCTGTGACTATTGTAAGTGCAAGGACCAGGTCTAAGTCACTCTTTTAAATGTTGTCATAACTTAACTTTTTCAGTGTTGTCATCACTGAACTGTCATAAGTTGAGGGCTACCTGTATTAAGTTGTTTTTGAAAGCAATGTTTATACTCAGATTTTCCATTTTCTTTTCATCTAGTAAATGAACTGTAATCACATCAAACTACTCTTTGTATATTGCTTCTAACTTGCAAACCCCTCTCACCAAATATTTTATTTTTCACAACAAACCTAACAAATAAAACCTTCTTTTCCATTATACAGTGTGTACATATGTACATATGTCTTGTGCACAATATCAATAGCCTTTTCCTCTTGGCTTTACATTCACATTGTATAAATTGACTTTCCATAACATATTGTATTGCCATTACATCATCTTTAGACTTTCAATTGCAACTTCATTTTATCCTTTAGAGCAATCCTCTATTCTTAATAGTTTTTATTCATATTATAACTTATTCAAAGATAAAGATAACCTCTCTTATTGATGTAGAGAGAAATACAATAGCTATGAGCTTTTATGTTTCAGTGCTACCATCTGCTCTCTAGAAATTACACCTTTAATCTCTTCTATACCAAAATAGATGAATGAATCATTTTATTGCCAAACAATTTGACCAAGCTGATACTAAAGTCAAGATGGTGGCCACAAAGACGTGATTGAAATTTCACTCTTTTTAATGAATGATACATGTGCTTCACATGTATTTTTACACAACATACATAAAAACAGAAGTTCAGTTGCAACCTCATGCCGACTAGGTTTTTTAACCACACCCTGCAAACTCCCCAGCACTCTTGCAAAATTCATTTTAATCATAGTTCATTTAATAGGTGTCAGCCCAGATGGACCAAACCAGGAAATCAATACCACAGGAAGATTAAAACTACTTTTATTGAGATTGGCTACATTACAATAATAGAAAGTCTGGGGGTGCAGTGACTCCCCCCTCTATCTTGTAGTTCAATAAATTAAGGAGGTGTCTTCCTGAGTTACTTCTAAATGTCATTTGACTGTTCCAGCCTTAAAAATGTTTCCACCCTGTTTTGCTTACATAACAGTTCCTGTATATCTCTATCCAGTGTCACCTTCTTTGCTTTCTACAGTAAGTTTCTGCTAGTTGTGTTTTGCCCACCACCATTATATTATGAATGAGCTCAATATATGATAGATTTCAATGGGAGCTTCTTTTTGACTTCTAATAGAAATGGCATAGTTACATTACTAACTGAAGCTACAATTAGTTGCTTAAAACAACACGCTACAAACTGTAACCACGCAAATACTTTCCATCAGAACCACGTCAATAATTCAATTACTCCGCAGTCTTGTCCAAACATTAAGAAACACTAAGATATAATATAATGCGTTCTTTTGCATGTCTCTTAATCAGATAGATTAAGCTCTTTGCATAGTAACCTATCTAATAATAATTTTTGGTCTTATAAACCCCATTACAGTGGTTAATTTATACTTTCTTTTTTACTCAATTATGTAACTGCCAATGTTCACATAAATGTGTTTGTGCACTATGTATGTAGATGGATAGTTTTCCCAGGTCCTTTTATAACGTATGAAGCAGGTTTTTCCATTATGGCAAAGAAACCTCCTTTTGAAGTTTCATTTCTACAAGCAATACTTGGAATCACAGGTTTAGATTGGGAATTTCAGAAGGCGATATGCATGTTATACTCCTGAAAGACACCAGGCTGTCAAGTGGAATCTTGTCCAGGGAGGAGAAAAAGTAGTTGCTGAAAATTATGAGGACTGGAATTTCTGGATTAAGACAGATTGCATGTGTTAATTAGTTTATCAGCACCAGATGTCTGTGGCTACAATATATTGTATTGTACAATAGATATTTACAGTGTATCTGATACTACAGGTAGTCCTTGACTTATTACTGTTCATTTAAAGATTGTTCAAAGTTATTACAGCCTCAGAAAAAGTGATTTAGCAATATCAATAGCACTTAGACTTATACATAGCTTCACAGTGCTTTACAACCCTCTCTAAATTATTTAGAGAGTCAGCAGATTGTCCCCAACAGTTTGGGTTCTCATTTTACTGTCCTCAGAAGGATGAGCCTGGAGAGAATTGAACTGACAAATTGTAGTCAGCTAGCAGTTAGTAGAAATAGCCTGCAGTACTGCATTCTAACCACTGCACCATCATGGCTTTTCATGACTTATCCTTGAAGTTACAATCATTTCATCATGTTATGATACATACAGAATAACCCTTGAGTAACAAGGATATGCAAATGGAAACGTTTATGAGAGTAATCATGAATAATTATTCAGCCAAACACAGATACACTAAATTGAGTAGCATAGCTTTCTCTTGTGTAGCATAGCAAGATTTATTACCCACAAATCAGTGGTGGGATTCAAAAAGTTCTACTACCGGTTCAATGGGCGTGGCTTGGTGGGCATGCTTTGTGCGTATGCACACACTTTGTATATGCACGTGCACCAAACATACACTTTACACAGGAGCAGAGGTGTTCCAACTCACTTCCTGCAAGCCTGCACTCACCCAGTTGCTTCAGTAGCTGCCGCGCAGCACTCTGCTATGCTGCGCAAAGCAGCTGGTCTTCAAAAGCAGAGGATAAAGGTGAATGTGGGAGCATGGACAGGCGGGTGAGCCCAACAGCAGAGTGGTGGAGAGAATTGGTTCGGTCTCCACTGCTCATCGCTACTACCAGCTCACCAGAACCAGAACAAACCAGTAGAATACCACCACTGCCCCAAATCCAAGAAAATAGTCAATAGCCAAGTTTAGAGAATAGAACTACTTTAGGAATAAAATGAATTCAGGATATGCAAATATAATGTTTTTAATTGAGGTAGAGAGTTAAAATAGTTTCTATAATTTTCTTGGCTACTTGGTTCAATATATTGAATACGTTTAGCTTTTAATGGTTACAGTACTTTAGTACAGTATGGTACTTTACAGTGAAATGTACAGTGAAATGTGTGAATCAAAGCAATTGAAAGAATTCTGTAAATCATAGTTCAGTTAGCCATGGATAATTCATGCTGCAAGTCCAATAAACAAATTTCAATTATACTTTTTTTGGGGTTCACTATAGTTTTTGCAAAGATATTTGTTTCTGTGTATTGTACATGAAAGTTCATTCTCATGAAATCTAACTTTTTTTGAGTACTCTAAAGGGCAACACCCCTCTATTGCTTTGCACACAGAAAAAAAAATGCAAGTTGTAAGAAAAACATGAAACATACTCTTAGTGTGATTTTTACAATGATGTATTGTTAGAATATTCGTAGACTACAACTGTATTGTTTAATAGTTCTTACCAAATGATTCTAGTAGCTATATTGATTGGGACAAGTAATAAGCTACCTATTTTGAATAATCTAAAGGACAAACATTCAAAGAATATATTAAGCTACTAACATTTCTGATCTGAAAGTTAGAGATGAATCAAAAAAATTAAGCTAGCACAAATATCAGTCACATCCCAGATAAGTTTTTATTGCCTGGCATCAAAGATAATTAATCCTTCTCCATTCTTCTTTTTTTAAAAAAATTGGGGAAATTATGTAACAGGTTTGTATGAAATGTATTGGTGGAAACTGAAGAATACTGCATCCAGTTTTGGTCACCACATTATAAAAAAGAAGTTGAAACTCTGGAAAGGTTGCAGAAAAGAACAACATTGATGATTGGGGAGACAAAACATATGAAGATCTGTTTCAGGAATTGGGTATGTTTAGTCTACTGAAAAGAAGGAGCAGGGCATGATAGCAGTGTTCCAATATTTGAGGCGCTGCCACAAAGAAGAGGGGATCAACCTATTTTCCAAAGCACTTGAAGGCAGGACAAGAAGCAATGGATGGAAACTAATCAAGGAGAAAAGCAACCTAGAACCAAGAAGAAATTTCCTAACAAGAACAATTAACCAGTGGAACGGCTTGCCTTCAGAAGTTGTGGGCTCCATCACTGGAGGTTTTTAAGAGGAGATTGGACAACCATTTGTCTGAAACAGTATAGGGTTTTCTCCTTGAGCAGGAGGTTGGACTGGAAAACCTCCAAGATCCCTTCCAACTTTTGTTATTCTGAAAAGAATCATTGTAATCTTATTGAATTACTGTATTTCAATTAAAGCAAAGATTTCAAATAGAACGACAAGCGCATCTTGGAGGCCAGTAACCCCAGTATACTGGCTGGGGAATTATGGGAGTTGAAATCCACAGGGCTTATACTGTAGTTGTCAAGGTTGAGAAACAGAATTTTAAGCAAAAAAATAGACTGTAATGTTTTCATTTGTGATTCTAAAGTGATGCTTAGCCTGTCATTAAAGACTGTATTCTTACACAGCCTTTGTGGCTTTTGAACACATTATTTGCACCCCTTAAAAATGTGTCAAAAAAATAACAATGTGGCATTTTATGCCATTGTAAGGCAGGAAAGGTATGAAATATACCAGGAGGCCAACTTAAAGAAGTATTAAATGGGGAGTGGGGAGAGAGAGAACATATCTGGAGGAAGAAAAACCTTAACATTTTGCACATCACTACCCAGCATTGCCCCGAGCAACCCCTGTCTGAAAATCTGCTCATGGCATAGGTATCAGAGAACCTGGGGTCCACCAGTAATTTTATTACTTCAGTAATCCCCATCCGGCATTCCCCATTGTCAGATGCTATGGGAATTGTAATCCAAATGACAACCGATTGCCTACTCCTATGTACAAAATTAACATTAGGGGAAACTGCGGTGCAAGAAAGATCTTTATTCTTTGGAGCAACGAAGCAGACGCCACCCATTATCGCGGCTATTTCCATTGCTAGCTAGCGGTGAAATACTTGTGAGGTGGAGGACTGTGCACATGCGCAGGCGCAGACGTTTCACTTTGCCCGGGCGGCCCAAGTCCGGAAGTGACTTCACCCACGAAGTCGCTCGCTTTCCTTTTCCCTCCCGGTCTTTCCCCTTGTCTCTCATCTCCTTAAGGTTCAGTGCAAGGAACGCTGGTCTTTGCAAAGCGGCTCAGGGGATCTTTCCAAGCGAAGGACTGGGGAGTGAGTTTCCATTGAAAAAGAAATAAAGGACGCGGGGGGCGGGAAATCGGCATTGGAAAATTGTCTTGCCGAGAAGAAAGAGTTAATTTCAGGCTCTTCCCCCGACGGGGCGGAGCTGTGAGCGGAAAGATTCTGCAGAATTCTGGGGTTTTATTTCGAAGTTACTCGTGGGTAGGTAAGGGTAGTGGGAGAAACTGACGGAGAGGGTGGAATAATGGTCTAATTGCAGCAAATGATGGAAGACCCCCAACCCGACCTTCTCTGACATTAAGTCTTTCCGCCTATGTATAGGATCGCAGGGTTAAAACTGTCTTCCCCGACCAATTGGGCATATTGAAACCAAGGTTAGGGCAGGCAGGTTTATGCCATTACCATAATAAATGGTAAATGCCGAAATGGGGAGCGTGGCTCGTCTTGCAGACGTTGTCCTATACGTGTGAAATAAAGAGCAAATCAACAAATCAAGGGTCTTCAAACTTGGCAGCTTTAAGACTTGTGGGCTTCAACTCCCAGAATTCCTGAGCCAACATGACTGGACGAGGAATTCTGGGAGTTGAGGTCCACAATTCTTAAACCTGTCAAGCTTGAAGACCCTCGAAGAAGAGGATCCTTGAAAGTATAATCCATTTTTTAAAAATATTAATAATGATTTGGACCTTATTTTGGTGTTCTTTTGATAGCTATCCTATTCCTAACACTTTGGACATAATAAATAGATCATTAGGTTTGGTTGTTTTAAGCTTTTTGCTGTTGGCCTGAGAGGGGGAACTTTCAAAATTTACATTTCTGAAATGTTCAGATAAACTATTTCAAATGGGTTATATCTTTTTGGGGAGGGTAGCTGTGATTATCTCACTCATAACTGAGCTGTTTTTGTGGTGTGGGTCCGTTTTTTGAAAACGTCTGGTAAAGGGGGTAAAGGGGTAGCATTTGAACCCTGGAGACTTTTGCATTCTAGTCCTGTCCTAGCTATGAAAGTCAGCTAGGTGACTTTGGCCCAGTCATTCTCCCTCAAGCTGAAGAAAAAACTAACAGCAAGCTGCATCTGAAAATGTCATCAAGACACCTGTATGGATTTGTTGCTATGGTCACCAAGAATTAGGATTGATTTAACAGGACACCATCACCCTGTTTATATATAGAGATAATATTTTCTTTGAAATGGCTCCCATGGTAATGTTCCTTCATAGTCTCTTTTGTTCCCAGGTCTTTGGCCAATCCAGTCATGTCTGTGGGCTGCATTTACACACGGCTGAGTCCTCTGCTTCGACCATCCCGTGTGATGCTTTTCCATCATCCCAGTTGTGCCATCCATGCCTCCAGTGCCACACTTGCTGGACACAACAAGTGGTCCAAAGTCAAAAATGTTAAGGGGCCTAAAGATGCTGCACGTTCCTTGGTCTTCCAAAAACTTACCATGATGATCCGTTTTGCTGTGAAGGGTACGGATCCAATATTTCACTGGCTTATTTTATAATCAAAATGAAGGCTCCTAAGGACTGCTGTGGCTAAGCCATAATATGACATGAAACCATAATGTTGGATATTAGCTCAGTGTGTTGTGTGAACCCAGCAACTTGTGGTTTGTGATTTACCGTATGGAAAACCATATTCCAGGCAATAGTTGTTGGACAAACCTATCTTAGCTAAGTGTGGTTCATTGATGGTATTCTACTGATTCGGCCCAGTTCTGCCAAGCCAATATTGGCGATGAGCAGTGGAGACCGAACCAGTTCTCTCCACCGCACTGCTGTTGGGCTCACCCACCCGCCCCAGTTCCCATGGTCATCCTCTGTTTTTGAAGCGCAGCTGCTTTGCGCGGCACAGCAGAGTAACGTGCGGCAGCTGCTGAAGTAACCGGGAGAGTGCAGGCTTGCAGGAGGTGAGTCGGAACGCCTCGGCTCCTGCGCAAAGTGCACCTTCCAAGCCATGCCCACTGAACCCGTGGTAAAACTTTTTGAATCCCACCCCTGGTGTGGTTCTTGTTGTGCTAACTTGTCTGAGTGAGGGACTTGCAGAAAAGACAGGGTTGTGAGTTTTCTGGTGAGCAGAACAATCCTTTCTGCTAAGATAGTTCAGACTTAGGATGAAACAGTGACCGAACAGTTTGGCACCAGGTTAGAGACTAGGAGACAGTGAGTTCTAGTCCCACCTTAGGCACAAACACTGACTAGATGACTTTCTCTTAGTCCAACCCATCTCACAGGGTTGTTGTGAGGAAAATAGGAGGAGAAAGGAGTATTGTTTATGTTTGCTGCCTTGACTTATTTATAAAAATAATAAAAATGAGCCCTTCAGAGGGTTTTCCCCAGATTTAATAGAAGATGCTCTGCGTTTAAAACGGCTGGGTCCTTAATGTTATCTCTTCCGTAATTACAACTGTTTGAAGAAACCATGGTGTGCACATCCTTAATTATGTATAGCTGAACTCAGCACACCTATTTTTTTGTATAGCCTTACTTCCTGCTATCTGCATTGTTGCTTTTCTTGTACTAACTGAACAAAAATCTTTATTTCCTGTTCTCTAAAATGCAGTGTTGTGTTTCCTAAACAAATGATAATGACCTGCCATCTTTCTACATTGCCTTTTCAGAAGGAGGATCGAACCCACAACTTAACACCAATTTAGCCAACATTATTGAGGTGTGCCGAAGGAAGAATATGCCAAAAGGCTCTATTGAAACAGCCATTTCTGGTGCGGTAAGTTTCTGAGTTGTTGGAGGTCTACATAAAAGGATGGCTGTAGCCAAAGATGTACAGTATAATCTAAGACAATGCCAAAATGATGATGGTGTCATCCTATTGATAAGCCACGTGACATCATTGTCAAAATAAGAATTATATTCTTAGGTCAGGATACAAGACATACATCACAACAAATGTGCCTTCCCCCACACTCTTCTCTCTGAATGTCCCTGTTGAATCCTTTGTGAGCCAGCAATAGAGGCAAAAAAGAGAAACATTACAATCTAGGCAATCTAGGTAGTGCTTGATTTATTACCACAATTGAGCCCAAAATTTCTGTTGTTAAGTGATGTTTGCTCTATTTTACGACCTTGTTGCAGTCATTAAGTGAATCATTGCAGTTGCTAAGTTGGTAACATGGTTGTTAAGTGAATCTGGCTTCCCCATTGACTTTGCTTGTCAGAAGGTCGCAAAAAGGGATCATATAACCTTGGGACTCTGCAACTGTCATAAAGATGAACCAGTTGCCAAGCATCTTAATTTTGACCACATCATAGGGATGCTACAAAGCTCATAACTATGAAAAAGGGTCATAAGTCCCTTTTTTCAGTGCCATTGTAACTTTGAACATCACTAAATGAAATGTTGTAAGTTGAGAACTATCTGTATTTGGGAGCAAAACAGTTATTAGGAACAGCCAGTTTTTGCTTTGCTTTTTATTTTTATTTTGTCTTAAATTATCCATTCCTTTGTGGAGCTTGTAGAGCAGAAAAGCAACACACAAATATCTTTAAGGAATTCATTTTTAAAGGATGCATTGAAGAACACCTGGAAGTTATAACTGGTTTAGACAACAGCAGCATGTGCTATATCAAGTGTTCCTTAGGTTTGGTATATTACATCTCTTGTTAAAGCTGCACTGGCTCCCAACTTCCTTCCAGGTACAATTCAAAGTATTGGTTACCTCTTTAAAACCATACATGGAATAAGACCCAGATATTTACAGGGCCGCCTCCTGCTGAGAATAGCTGCCTACCCTACCATATCAGATAGGTAGCACGGGCATGTTCCTAGTCCCTTCCATGAAATCTTGCCATGTAGTGGCACTTCAGAAGGGTACCTTTTCCGTGGCTATCCTACCTTAAGGCACACCCTCTGGTGATTTGGCAGGCCCCTTCCCTTTTAGCCTTTTGGTACACCACCAAGAGCTGGTTTGTTACCCAGGTGCTAGGATAGAAGGAAGATATCTAGGCTGGTTGTGGGGCATCCCAAGGAGATAACTTAAGCGCTGCATTTTTGTAATGGTTTTGTGGTCTCTGATTTTGAGTTACTGTTTTCATTGTTGTCACCCAGAGTTGTGTTTAAGATAGGTGTCCACACAAATCTTTTAAATAAACAAATGCATTTGGATCTCGCTTTTGTTAAATTGCTTTAAAGGGACAGCTGAGGACAATATACTTAATACTTGAAAGCTGAAGTGATGGCGAAGATTTTGTGAGTTGCTGATGGTTATCATTGTTAACTTCTTTGGCAGGAGAAAACGAAATCCATTTATCACTTCTGCGGCATCCGAGGTCCAGGTGGCTCCTCCTTATATGTTGAGATACTGACAGACAACTTAAAGAGGACTTCCAATGAAATCCGATATCTTTTAAACAAAAATGGGTTAGTGCAACCTCAGGAGTATTGGTTGGCTAGCTACAAGAGGTAGGGGAGGGGGATGCAAGTTTAACAGGGATTTGCTGAAGAAGATATGGGTGCTTTGTTCCTTACCTTTGGAAGAACTGGGTTTTCCTGTAAGTAGTCCTTCCATATCAGAGGCTGTAGAAGTTCTGGCAAGCCACTGCTAAAGTCTTAGGCCAGGAGTGTCAAACTCAAGACCTGGGGGCCAGATCCAGCCTATGGAGTGCTTAGATCTGGCCCACGGGATCGCCCTTGAAACAGCAAAGGACTGGCCCATGGTGCCTCTGCCAGTGAAAACGGAGCTCGTGAGGGCCGTGCGCAGCCCTCCCTGGCTCCCTTTTCACCAACAGAGAGTTGTAAGAGGCCGTTACAGCCTAAAAATGAGCTTAGGAGGCCATTTTCATTGGCAGAGCGCTTGGCAATCACAGCCCACCCACCCGAAACAAGTGATGTCATGCTGGCCACGTCCACCCTGGCCACACCCACTCCAGCCCCCCAGGTCAAACTTAACTCTGATACGGCCCTCAATGAAATGAAGTTTGACAACCTGTCTTAGGCTAAAGACTTGGTTCCTTGCAGGGGGAGCATTACCGAAGGGATTCACAATCATTTTGAGAAAAAGGGGGTTGTGATTGTCAGCAAGGAAGACAAATCCAACAATCCTGTCAGCTTGGATCGGGCACTTGACTTGGCAATTGAAGCTGGAGCTGAAGATGTCCAGGAAGAGGAAGAGGAAGATGAGAAGGTGGTGCTCAGGGTAAGTTGAAAGGGTGGGATGAAATTTAGCAAAGTAAGCTGCACACATTTTCACTCTTTAATTTTTCTTAAAAAAAAATATGTTGCGTCCCAATTGGTTGTTCCAACAAGAAGGTAAGGACAAACTTCTAACAAGCTTCGAGTGATTTCACAAAGCTTACACAGCTTGGCTGAGTTTGTACTTGAATGGGAGATCCTCAGAAAAACCCAAGGCTGTAGGCTGAGAAAAGGAGAAGGAAAAAAAAAACCCTCATAAGTGAAAAAAAAAAGGCAACTAATATCCATATAATTTCTAGAATATTGCCCGTCATGCCATCATTATTACGGTCGAGGTCAAATTGGGCGGTCTTTATAACAAAATCATTGGCTTGACACTGAGTTTCAGTGGCACTATGTGGAGGGGACCGTGGGCCACAAAAATGAGTGGGGGGGAGGGAATTATAAGTTGGCATTAAGGGTGTCTTTGTACAACTGATAAAATTTCATATGGCTTAGAAATGGTTCCCTGCTCAAGACTATAGGTAGCTCTCAAGTTACAATGGAGCCTGCCCATTATGTCTGTAAATCCTAATGGTTGCAAAACTATCTGGTCATGGGATCCACATGATTTCACGATACTTTTTGCAGCAGTCATTAAGCGAATATCATTAAACGAGCACTGCTGTCGTTAAATGGGCTCATTGCTGAACATTTTCACTGAAAAGCAGAAGTGAATGCAGCAAAACTGCCATAAAATGTAATGTGACCGCAGGGCAGGAGGGGCAACCGTTGGAACTTCAGATGCAGATCCTATGCCCCCTTTTCCAAGTAAGTCATAACTTCAGTTACTAAGCCATCAGTTGTAAGTTGAGGACTACCTGTACATTGTGGCTCTTGCCCATCCCTATCCCACCAAGATACTACACCCACCATGGAGATGCATGCCAGAGGAATATAGGGCTGGATCACTGCAAAGTAGCCCTCTGAAACCTCTCCCCTGGACAGAGGTGCAGCCAATTGGTAACTGATCATCACCAAATGCATTCCGAGCTCTGCTAGAATTCACTCCTGCTCAGTGTGAACAGGATTCTTTCTTTGTATACTGGTTCACAGGTACAGTATAGGCAACACCTGGCTCAGTACTAGTAACTGTGAGAGGGGTCTTGGAGTCCTAGTGGATAATTGTTTAAATATGAGCCAGCATTGTGCTGCAGCGGCCCAAAAAAAAAAACCAAAACAAATTCTAGGCTGCATAAACAGGGATAAAGTCAAGGTCACGTAAAGTGTTAATCCCACTGCCTTGGTAAGGCCACACTTGGAATATTCCATCCAATTTTGCTCGCCACGATGTAAAAAAGATGTTGAGACTCTAGAAATAGAGGGAAGATAAGAGCAACAAAGAAGATTAGGAGACTGGAGGCTAAAACATATAAAGAATGGTTGCTGGAATTGGGTATGTCTAGACTGATGAAAAGAAGGACTAGGGGATGACATGATAGCAGTGTTCCTATAGCTCAGAGACTGCCACAAAGAAGAAGTTAAGCTATTCTCCAAAGTACCTAAAGGCAGAACAAGAAGCAATGGGTGGAAACTAATCAAGGAGAGAAGCAAATGAGAAATTAGGAGGAATTTCCTGACAGTTAGAACAATTAACCAGTGGAACAACTTGCCTCCAGAAGTTGTAAATGTTCCAACACTGGAAGTTTTTAAAAAGAGATTTGTCTGAAAGGTATAAGATTTCTTGTCTAAGCAGGGGGTTGGACTAGAAGACCTCAAAGGTCCCTTCCAACTTTGTTGTTCTATTGTTTCTACACACAGAACAAGAGATAACAGCAATCCTGATCTAAATATGTAAATTCTGCAAATGTTTGACTCCTGCGGATTTTGTTAGTCTCCCAAAGGGTATAAACCCACCCCCTCCGTTTGAGGACTCCGGTGCGTGGTTCAAATGGTTTGATCAGGTCTTCTAGATTTCTAGGCACTGGCTATAACAATATCTCCCCCCCCCCCCCCGCTTTCTTTTGTCTTCTTCTCTACCGCTTAGTTTATTTCCGCTGTGTCTACCTTGCACCAAGTACGTGAAAAACTGGAGTCGCTGGGCCTTTGTTCTTTGTCTGCTGGCCTTGAATTCATCCCAGTTGTCCACGCTCAGCTATCAGACGCAGAGATGGAGGGGACCGTGAAGTTGTTACAGGCCCTTGAGAACCACGTAGATGTTGTACGGGTATACAACAACATTGCTTAGTTTTACCGGCATTACCTCCAGGAGGTACTGAAGCCTTACAAGCTAAATTCTGGTTTTATTTCCCCCCCAATCCAAATCAAGACTATTAACGGTAAATGAGGTTTGCTGTGTTTCGGACAAGCCTGTGTGCCTCTTTGCCCTCCTTTTCAAGTTTCTTGCCAGAGGACAACCCCATGGCATGTACCAAATGGGGATGCTAAAAGAGTGCTGGAGCAAAAAGATAACTTGGACAACTTCTGCCACAAATATCTGGGATTGGTTCCTGACTTCCATTGGAAGACAGGATTGCTGTCTCATTAGCACCTCAATATAACAAAACAATAATGTCCAAACAGATATATTCCCAAGCCAATGGAGATACACTAACTGAAAGATCAGTAATCTTAATATAACCGGATACCTTTTTGGTCCACTTTTCCTGAGTTGTTGGGAGATAGTTTTGCCTTCTTCAAGCATGCAAGTTCGTGAAAAATCCTACACACACAAACACAGACCTGGAGAGGAATGCGGGTTTTATGTGTGATGGACCCAGACTGGATACATACTTGGCTCCTTTGAGATATCTCTGTGATGGGCATTAAATGCACCCGAATAGCCATTCTGAATCATACTAAAGCATTTGTTCTGGAAAATCATTCAGCAGCAATTCACATCTATGTGACTACGATCTGTATCCCTTCAATCTTCCGCTTAGATCAAATTGTTCAGAAATGCTAATACAGAATGCTGGTATGTAAACAATGTCTACTTACATTGATAATTGTGCATCCAAATATACTTTTAAAAGGCCGCTTGATATGGTTCATCAAATCTGAGAAAAAAGTGCATTTTGTAGTTGTGCGGCTTGTGTGTCTCGGATGTGTATAGGTACTCCTCAGTTTATGACCATAATAGGAGCCTGCCATTACAGTAAGTTATGATGGTCATAAAACAGTTCACCCATGTGACTGATTCAGTTTTTATCTTTTTTGTGGCACTCAGAGCACCGCAATGGTTGTAAAATGAACCTGTTGTTTGCTATGTGCCAGTTTTGCCTGAAAGCACAAAGTAAATACTGATTTTCAGCAAAACTGTAAACCGCAGACATATAACAATGGGACACTGCTAATGGCTGTATATGCAGGTTGGCTGCTGAGTACCCAATGTGTGATCACAGGATGGTTTTAGTGGGTGAGGGCAGCTGTCAGAATTTCAGAACCATGTTGTAGGTGATGGGAAGTGTCCACCGTAACTTCAAATGGCTGCTAAGCAACTGGTCATAAGTCGAGGACTATGTATATATGAATGCTGATGAATGTACCTGTAACAGTGATGGGATTAAAAAATTTTTACTACCGGTTCTGTGGGCGTGGCTTGGTGGGCGTGGCAGGGGAAGGATACTGTAAAATCTCCAGTCAGAGGTGGGATTTGCCGGTTCTCTGAACGACTCAAAATTCTCCAGAACTGGTCAGAACCTGCTGACGGCCATCTCTTCTGTAAGCATGTCACAATTGATTTGCACAGGTAGGATTATGAGCCTATGCATTACAGGTTGAAAAAAAGAAATCCTTTTCTTAAGAGGAGAATTTTTTTTAATCAGATGAGCAACATTATTTTTGTATTAATATTCTCTCCTCCTACCATCAGCTTTCTTCATAGACAAATTTTAGGCTCAAGGACAAGTTGCAAAGTCAAGACTTATGGACAAATTTTTTAATATACTAAAAAAAAAATCAATAACAGGAGGGGGGGAAAAATCAACCACGGTATAATACATGCCAGTCATTGTGTGCTTGATTTTGTGTATGAATTTTGAAGTTCTGTAACCAATGATGCTTCCCTCCATATTGGCATAAATGTGCTTCTGCTTTACTCTGAAATATTCTATTTTTTTTCCTCTAGTATACAATGGAAAAAGTATAGGAACACTTGTAATTTAGTGGCTAGTCTATTAGCATTCATACATTACAAAATGGCGCAGGAAGGGGAATTACAACACTGAGTTACAAGAAGAAGGTATCTTAATACAATATTAACATGGGGTTGATTGCATCATTGCCTAATGAGCATCACACACACAAACACAATTTATAAAAACTGTTTTTTGATACACTCATTTGAAGATTCTGGGTGAATGCAGAAAGATACCTCCTATAAGTTCTACATGTTTGTTTATGTCTAAACTGAACACGATCTAAACTGAACATGATCTAACATTATTAGCTTTTCAATCAGGATATAATGGAAATATTTTGATACCAATTGCTAGCCCAGCTGCAGGAAGACTCAACAAGCAGAATAGATATTCACTTAATATCCAGAGGGTGTGTTTTTTCCTACCCTGGCATGTCTGGCTATCTCCAAGGGTTAGTAAATGTGGTCCGCTGGTGGCTTGCGGAGCTGGCAGCAGAGTCAGACAGTGGGAGGACCATGGGCCAATCCTGGAGTCTGGGGAGGACATGGACGAGAGATCTGTGTCCGACACAGATGGGGCCAGGCCCATTTGAGAGTTATGTGCTGACTCTAGAGCCTCCAGAATCTGACATCAACGAGGCAGAGGAATGGGAAGCCTGTTCCCAGGGCGCGCTTGTGCAGAGCTGTCAGAAAGCAAAAACAGTTAAGACAAAAGGGGGGACTCTGGAGTATAGGCTTGGAGATGATTGGCCCCTCTCATAAGACATAAACGAGGAGCAAAGGGACATGAGCCTTTGCAGGAAGCAACTATTTGTTCTGGTCGGTTTAAACTCTGAAGCTCTGTGTTGACTATGTGCTCCATTTGGCCTTGTGCATCTAATTGGCAATTTAGTCGTTGGCAGCATTTTAAGGGAGATAAAGGTGGGTGCTTATCAGCCTTATCCCGAAAGACTGTAGCAGACTTCTAAGTAAAGTGATAGTTATATCTTTGAATTCCCAAGAAAAGTAAAGAATTTTATTGTGTCCGAATTCCTGAAACCCAAAAGTAAAAAGATGGTTTAAAAATCTGGAATCCTGAAACCCTGAGATCTGCAATCCCAAAAGTGAAACGATACATAGATCTGAATTCCTGCCATCCCTCAGTATAAAGACAGTTAATTTGGACTCCTAAAAGTAAAGAATGATAGTTATATCAGAATTATTGTTATATCGGAATAGCAATTTGATTTCCTGTGATAAAGACAAAGATATGCTGAAGCCAGGAGTGAATATGGAATGCTAAGCTCTGTACCTTGTTCTCCTTTGAAGCATCAAAACTTCATAGCCAGTGTGAATTGGCAGGGAGGGGGCAACCCCCCCCCTCCTCTTTAGCAAGAGACTTTCAAACTTCCTCTTCTCTGGCTTAATTTGCGTCTTCCCATTGTTGGCCGAAGTATTGAGAGAATTTGAGTGGACCTTGGACTGTTTCCTCTGACCAAAGTTCTGTTGGACTATTCTTAAACTGGACTCATTACAGGCTGTGAATGCATATAATTCACAGCCATTGAAATAAAAAGCAAGATTTTTTTGGAACAGCATGTGATTGTTACTATCTCAGGAAGTCTTGGCAGAACATAAACTACAGGCTATATGCATTCCATCTCATCTCACCTCATCTCATCTGGTTCCCAAATAATCCTTCGGCTGGGAAAATGAAGGTTCATTTTCTAGTATCAGAACATATATGGTTGTATACTTTCCATGATTTCAGATGTTATATCACTGGATATATCACTGGATGTATTCTTTACCAAGATGGTGCTGCCAATGGCAGCCTTGGTGAAATGCTCTCTGATCTGCTGTTTTTTATTCTCTGATTCACTACGGATTTCATATTCAAGCAACTGCTAAGCATCAAGCAATGTTTCTTTGATGGACAGCTTTCTCTGATTTCACATTCCCACTACCATCCCATCTTTACAAATGGAGAAGAGTTTCTAACACGAATGGAGGAGGTAAAGAAGGGGTAAGTAAGCAGCAATTTTGAATAGACTAAGGAAAAGTAGGATAAAAACCTCTCTCCCATCACTCTTTCTAACTAATTTACGTTCACTTACTAATAAAATGGATGAAATACTTATTTTAAATAGATGCAATGATTTTTACAACTCAGCAGCTCTCTGCTTCATTGAAACCTGGCTAAATGAGTAAATGGATGATAGCAGCTTGCATATCCCAGGGTTTCAGGTACGAAGAGCACACAGAGTTGCAGAAACATCAGGTAAAAAGAAAGGGTGGAGGCCTATCTTTATATATTAACAGCCGCTGCTGCCAAAGTGTAACTATATTAAAGAAATTCTGTGAAGTGGACTTAGAGACATTATCAATTGCAAGCCATTTTATTCTCAACAACGGTTCTCATTTCTCCTAATTGCTGTGTATGTTTCTCCACAAGCTTGTGTAAAACAATACATTAGGAACTCTAGTTGACCAGATTATGTGGGCTGAAGTTAAATACCCAGATTCACTTCCTATTGTTTTAGGAGTTTTTAACAAAGCAACTTAAGGAAAGAGCTACCAAAATATTTTCAGCATGTAAATTGTTTCACGAGAGGCAAGAATACTTAGACCGTGATGGCGAATCTATGGCATGCATGCCGGAAGTGGCACGCAGAGTCATTTCTGCCAGCACACGAGAGGTCACCGGAGCAGCCCCACTGTACATGCATGTGTGCAACCCCCACCAGCCAATTGATTGTCGGATATCTGCCGTGCATGTGCGGGAGACACGCATGCATGGGGTGGGGGGTTCACGTGTGCATGCGCAGAGGTGCATGACATAGGGGAGGGGTGGGGGTCGCGTACGCATGGCATTATGGGTGAAGGCATGTGCGTGCGTGCTTTCAGCACGCGAGGTAGAAACAGTTAGCCATCACTGCTTTAGACCATTACTACATAACATTAAAAGATGCTTATTGTTCTTTACCCTGAGTAGCTGTGGGACACTGATCATTGCATGATTCACCTTGTCCCTGCTTAGAAGCAAAGATTTAAAACCATGAAACCATGGGAGATTGAACAACTTGCCTTGTGATGCGACCAGAACAATCTGGAACTGAACACACTCAAAACTGTAGAAATGGTGGTAGACTTCACGAGAAACCCTCCCATACTACCACCTCTTACAATACTAGACAACTCAGGATCAACAGTAGAGACCTTCAAATTTCTAGGTTCTATCATATCTCGAGACTTAAAATGGACACCTAACATCAAAAATGTCATCAAAAAAGCACAACAAAGAATTACTAAATTAATTCATTACTAAACATAGATTATAAAATCTTTGCTTCTATAATAGCAGAATGCCTGAAAAGAATTATCAATATGTTTATTCACTCTGACCAAAATGGCTTTTTACATAGAAGACAGATAAAAAAAACAACAGAACAATTCTTGATAGATTAGAAAACTATGAAACCCACAATGAAAAGCAAGTGCCACTACTTTTCCTTGAGTCCAAAAGGCATTTGATAATGTAAACTGGGAATTCATTCTACTACAATTGAGACATATGGATTTTGGCAATGAATTTATAAACATGGTTACAGCAATATGTACAAAACAAAAGGCCAAAATAATAATTAATGGTGACACAAAATGTCACAATACAAAAAGGTACCAGACAAGGCTGCCCACTATCCCCGTTATTGTTTATTTTGACATTAGAAGTGTTGTCAAGAAATATCCATAGAGATCATCAGATTAAAGGTCTGGAAATCAGACAAGAACAATATAAGCTACAAGCCTTTGCGGATGATCTAGAGTTTATTTTAGGGGAACCCTAAAAATAAGAGGTGAAACTTATGGAGGAACAGAATATGGTAAAGTAGCGGGCCGGAAAATAAATAAGACAAAAACTAAAATGTTGGCAAAGAATATGACATCTAAACTAAAAGAGGAACTAATGAAAGAATGGGGCATTAAAATTGTGAAGAAAGTTCAATACTTACGTATATTCTTAATGGTTAGGTGCATAACTCTCAGAGAAGATAATTATACTAAACTAACAAATCAAATTAAGAAGGATCTAGAAAGATGGAAGAATCTGCAACTTTCCCTAATGGGCAGGATAACTTATAAAAATGAATATATTACCAAAGCTACTTTTTTATTTCAAAATATTTCTATTAAACTGGAGAAAGTTTTCTTCAAGAATCTGAGCCAACTAATGTCAAAATTTATATGGCAGGGAAAGAGACCAAGAATTAAGCTGAAAGTTATGCAAGATACTAAAGGAAAAGGAAGATTTGGCTTGCCTGAATGGGAGTTATTATGTGGCAATTCTAACATGGATAAAAGAATAAAAATGTTGAGGAATAAAAAACTGTTAAAACTAGAAGGCCATGATATTCAAGTGGGCTGGCATGCCGCCTTATGGTGCGAAAAAGGTACAACACATAAATATTTCCAGAGACATTATTTAAGACAGGCATTGTTAACATTTTGGAACAAAATCAAATATCAAAATTACATGAAAACACCTATTTGGCTTTCCACACTAGAAGCATTTATACATCCAAATTTAATAAATATGGAGAAAATTGTAACATAAAGAGATTATAGTGAATGAACAGGGAGAACTGAAAACTAGGTTAGAACTGGTAGCACAAGGGGTGAATGTAGAATGGTGGTCTTACAGATACAAACAAGATACACACAGGATAGGTAAACATGGGGCATTAATAAAGAGTTAACAATTCTGGATAAGCTTCTGTTAGAGACCGATGATAAATTCATAAAAGTACTGTATAGATATTTATTAGAATACAAACTTGAGGAAGAACATGTAAAAGAAATAATGGTGGTATGGGCAAAATTTTTTGATTATAATATTGAATTGGCTAAATGGCAAAAGCTTTGGACTAGCAATAAGAAAATAACATTGGCCATAGCATACAAGGATAACCTTTATAAGATGTTTTGCAGGTGGCATCTTCTGCCAGCAAGGCTTTCCAAAACGTTCAAAAGTCTATCTCCAAATTGTTGGAAGTGCAAAGATGTATCAGGCACATTTTTTTCACATGTGGTGAACCTGCAATACTGCAAAAAAGTATTGGAGACTGATCCAGCCATGGGTGGAACAAATGGTGGGAGAGTGTATTCCATTTAAGCTGGATTTTTTTCTCCTAGGAATAATATCAGAAGGATATAGGAAGGATTTAATTTATCTAATAGTACATGTGTTGACGGTGGCTAGAATAATATATGCACTATACTGGAAGAGGGAAAGCATACTGCCAGAAACAGATATAATAAGAAAATTATGGCCTGTGCAGAATTGGACAGGTTAACCCTAGAATTAAAAAACAAGGTGGAATCTGAGTACTATGAAACGTGGAATAAATTCTATCAGTGATTGCATAGAAAAAGGTTAGGTCAGAGCATAAGTAGCTTTGATGATTGGAATAATTAGTAAACTATGTATCAAACAAGAGGATTGTAAATGGTGAAGTACCATTTATATATGTATAACAATTGTAACACCAGAACGGCTGCACCGTGTTGTATTATTATAATTAAAGTTAAAATAATAAAAAAGCACAACAAAGAATGTTCTTTCTGAGCCAATTCAGAAAGCTCAAACTGCCCAAAGAGCTTCTGATTCAGTTCCACAGAGGAATTATTGAGTCTGTCATCTGCACCTCTATAACTGTCTGGTTTGGCTATGCAACCAAATAGAGACAGACTTCAGAGGATAATTAGAGCTACAGAAAAAAAAAAAACAATTGCTACCAACCTGTCTTCTATTGAGGACCTGTATACTTCACAAGTCAAAAAAAGGGCTGTGAAAATATCTACAGACCCTTCACATCCAGACCATGAATTGTTTCAATTTCTACTCTCAAAACGACGCTATAGGGTACTGCACACCAGAACAACTAGACACAAGGACAGGTTTTTCCTGAATGCCATCAGTCTGCTAAACAACTAATTCCCACAACGCTGTCAAACTATTTTACTAAGACTGTATTACTATTGTTATTCTCATCCCTCCTATTGCCTATCTCCTCCCACTTATGACTATAACTTTGTTATTTGTATCCCTACGATTTATATTGTTTTATTTGTTTCCTAGTATAATATTGCTTATTTAGTAACCTATGCCTATCACTAAGTGTTGTATCTTACGATTCTTGATGAATGCATTTTTTTCTTTTTATGTACCCTGAGAGTATATGCATCAAAGACAAATTCCTTGTGTGTTCAATCATACTTGGCCAATAAAGAATTCTATCCTATCCTATCCTATCCTATCCTACCCTACCCTACCCTACCCTACCCTACCCCTTATCCCATTCTGTTGGCTTAAGATAAGAGATACAGTTCAGACTGAACTGTAACTCCCTGCAGAATCACAAATATTACCAGTAGTCCTCACTTAACAATCATTCATTCAGTGATAGTTCAAGGTTCCAGTGGTGTTAAATGAATGATATTTATGCCTGGTCCTTCAAGTTATGTCTACTCCAGCATCCCTGTGTTCACATGATCAAAGTTATTTGGCAGCCCACCTGCATTTATGACCTCAGGTGCGCTTTAATCTCCCCCATCCACCTATCTCCCATCTCTGCCCTTTCGGCTTTCCTCTGCTTCTCTTCACCCTGTGCTATCTCAGCAGTTACCATGCGAAGCAGCTGTCGGTGGGAGGAAGACCACAGTCAGCTGGAGCAGCGGCGAGAAACAGTGGGGTGCAGGGTGGCTAGAAAGACAGTGATTGGGGTAAGATAGATGGCTGGTGGGAATTTAAGTGTAGGAAAGTACAACAAGGCAGGAAAAGTGTGCAATCCTCATGTAATGATGTGCAACTAGGACTATCAACAATTCCATTGCTAAGTGGTGGGGTCATGTGATGTTTCGCCTAACAGCCACATCACTTAGCAATGGAAATTCTGGCCCCAATTAGGGTTGAAGTGAGGATTACTTGTAGAGCAGGAATGGGCAACCACGGCCCCTTTATGACTTGTGGACTTCAACTCCCAGAATTCCTGAACTTGCCATAGATTATAAAGGGGCCATAGTTGCCCACTCCTACGAGAGAAGGTAGCAAATTTGGAAGGAAGCTTATGCTGGTACACCTGGAGAAGCCAACAGCTTGTTTGTCGAGGCAAAGCAGGAGTGTGGTTTAACAAGGCTTTTAGCACATGAATTTCTGTACAAGAAGCTCCAAACTGGCTCTCACTTTGGACGAGCCAATGACAAAATTAAGAACTTTTCTAGCTGTTCCTCTACAGAATAAATACTGCTTCAGAACAAATGAACTGGAAATGAGAATGGCCGCCTTCAAAATAAAGCCGCAGTATCAATAATTTTGCAAAATTAAGCAATCTCATCATTTATTTGGGGTGTGTGTGTGTGTGTTGAAGTTCCAAAGTTTAAGAATCTCTGATTTGAAAAATTCCATAGCCCCTTTTAAAAGCTCTGACCCCGCCCCTCACCCCCAAGGTAGTTTAAAATTACTTCTATTCTCACTGTTCCTGCAGAAAGCTTTTAAGAAATAAAGTGGATGCTTGGAGCCACTGCAAACCTTAAAAGGTAAAGAAAAAAAAACTCCCAACATTTCAATCAAGCCCATTCTAGCAGTATCAGGCAATAGAGGAGCTAGAAAGAAAGGGTGGAGCACCTGGAAAGCCGCCTTCTGCTGGTCTCAGTCAGGGTCAGTTTCTGGACTTGGAGGGAGGGGTGACTCAGCCGAGGTAGCACAAGGCAGGAAAAGTTCAGTGTAGCCATTTCCGCTGGGCGAGGAAGGAGAAGCCGCAGGGAAATCTAGATTCAGAGGCCCGGCCAAACCTTGACTCTGGAACGCCTCAAAATCAGTGCCCGGATTCCTTGGAGACAGGCCCTCAGGAGAGGGTCCATCATTCGCACGACAGACCTCAAAGCGGCACCAGCGGTACCCAGCACACTTGTGTGCCCCTGGGCAGCTCTGGATGAGGTGTTGGACTGCAGGGTGCGACAGCCCAAAGAATTCAGCCCCTGCTGGCTCGAGCTGGCCAGCAGCCACTGCTTCCAACAGCTGAGCATGGCAGGCATCTGGGGTAGATCCTGCTATTACAACCCCCAGTTCGTCTTCGGGGGCAATTTCGAAGTGTGGCCCGGTGCCCCCGTCCTTGATCTGGCAGGTGTACAGACAGCGGTGAGTTGGCCTGCGAGTGCTGGCAAAAACCCTGGTACTGCAATACCCCACAGGGTAGATGGCACTCTCAGTATGGAAACCAGGACGGTCAGAGATGATCTCACCCAGACTGTAGATGGTTAGTGGGCCTAAAGTGATAGGAAAAATCGGCCGTCCGGCAGGGTCCAAAGGAAGCGGGGGGACCAGCCGGCGGACGCCCAGCTCCTGGGGTGCCCTGCGTTTGGATGCTCGGCCATTTTCTTTGCCTTTGCGTTCCCGGCGTATTTTGCGAGTAGGCTGCTCATCTGGGGAAGGTTGCAGGCCAGCTGCCACAGCCGGCGTGGGAGAGCCGTCCTCAGCCAGGGCTTGTGCCTGCAACAGGCGAGTAAGCAAGAAACGGCGCTCCTCACGTATCCGCAGGTATTTGGCCTCCAGCCGGGCAATCTCATCGCACAGGGCTGCGTTCTCGTAAACCAGCACCTTGGCCACACGGCAAAGACGCTGAAACTTCAAGCGATAACGTTCGTCCTGGTTTTTCCGAATGTTTTTCTTCATCATGGGAAGCAGTTGACAAGAAAGAGGGCGGGTAGAAGATGGCTCTGGAGAGGAAGAAAAGTCCAAAAAACAAGTTCAGCAATTATGTAAATATTTCCAGCTCAGTCTTATCCTAGCAACCAATCAATTGTGCATAAATTATGAATTATGGCAAGCCTCGCTACTTCAAATCAGACACAAGTATAACATACAACTGTACCACTGGGGCGTCCAAAAATGAGATTCAATATACCTAAGAGCCCATTTTTTGTTTCCACACGAGCAGAAAACAATGCAGAAAAGAGCCAGCCAAATGATTAAAAGCTGTAGCAATTCCCCCACAAGCCAAATTCGCAATATTTTGAGGTTTTAACATTTTTTAAAAAAGTAATACAAACATAGTAGCTACTCATTCAATTCCATGGATCCCAAAGCATCTATTGGCTAGCCCCAAAAGAGGAAGAAATACAGGTACAGGTAGTCCTCATTTAGTTATCACAACTGAGATTGGTAACTCAGTTGTTAAGTGAAGCAGTTAAGTAAAACTGTGACTGCTTACAATCTTACGCCAGTTTTCCTTTGCTTTACAGGCCTGCAAAGGTTGTAAATGCAATTGATCATAAAAATAATTTTTCATCACTGTCATAACTGCAAATGGTCACTATACAATGCAGTTACTAGACAAGGACTACCTCTTTTAGCATCTGGATGACTGTTATTGGATCAGAGTGTGTGAAAAAAACCTCTTGTCTAATTCAACATAGCTCTGAGTCTCCTGTGGAGCAGCCATATTAGTGTCAGAGCTGTTTTATTTAAAGATAACCGCTTTTCACTTTCGTAGTGTAACTTTTTCCCTTAAAAGTCCAGCAAAACAATGATCCTGGCAAAATATTTCCCCCCACAATTATCTATCCAAAGTGCTAAAAAGGGGAAATTTACGTCAAGGAGGAAGCTAGAAAAATAAGATAAACAGAAAAGTAAAGGATACAGGAATGTGAAAACTGCAACCCACAAGTAGGTAAGGGAGGACTGGCTTTGCACTGAAGTTCCTAAAGTAAAGCAGACAAGCTTCATTTGTGGATAACAGGCCCATAACTCTGTATCTCTCAGTCACCTTGCTGGCTAAGCATCAGTAGTCTCAATAAAGGATCCCCAAGTTGGGGAAGAATCTTTAGTGGAATTTGCTTTTGAAAGAGATAATAGGACAGACATCCACTTTCATGGCATCCAAGTGAGAATTGACAAACTGAGGGCAGACCAGATCAATTGCTGCCATCACAATGGCAAATAAAGCTTCCCCCACTGCAGTTAAAAACAAGATATCATAGTACTGCATTTCTGAAACTTGGAGGCTTTTTGAGACGTGTGGAATTCTTTTCCCATCCAGCATGAGTCCACATGTCTTAAAGCCAAGTTTGAGACATGATCATCTATATATCAGCTACTAGCTGGAAACGGAAAATCATAGTGGTTTGACCGGGATAGCAGCGAGACTGGATATTGCACTCCTTGGCTTGTTCCAGCCAAGAGAATTCCCGCCGCTCTTCTGCTAGAAGCGCAGAATTATTCGAAATAATGCAATTATGCGATGACTTGCAAAGCGGATTATCTGACCGCCCCCTTCTCTCCTAATCGGTATTAACATTGCAGAAGTCCCGCCACCCGATTCTCACCCCGATATCGCAGCAGCACGTCTTCTCAGAGGCCGGAGCAGGAAGCGGAAAGAGCGGAGATGCCTGCCGCTGCTTTGCTCTGCTGCCGGCGTAACCCTTTCCTTGCTTGAGGTCGGATTAGCGCCTTCTCGCGGTTGGCAGCGCATCCTCTCTCTGCCTTTGAAGGGGCTGGGCGAGAATTCAGCCTAAGGAGTCCGTCCTCGCATCCGCTTCTCTGGCGGAGCCTCTGTTAGCTGCACGTGTTGGCCTCTGATCAATGCACAGGAATCATTTGGCAACTTTACCCTCCGAAGAAAAGAAATGCAAGCCAGAATTCTTGTTGGAAAGATGGCTGAGAAGACAGGCAGAAGATTAACCAGATTATCAGAGAGGAATTCTTGTTTGTGAAACTCCATTACCTTCACCAGCACACTGATCCATAACAAAAGCCCTCGGCCCTTGACACAAAACTTGAGCCTAAGGGCTGTCTGCAGGCCTTTGCTTTGTGCTTGAGCTTTATTTGGATATAGACTGTTTTGAAAAACTCAGAGCTATAGACAAGCCTAGGAAGTTTTTTTTAAAAAATCAGAAAAAAGACTAGTCATTAAGAGTTTTGTTCAAGTTGTTGGAAGCTTTGCTTTTAGTAATTTTAATGGAAACCTCGCTTTTTAAACTGGGTTACTCTGCAATATATATTGTAACTTGGATGTATTATTACAGGATTGATGTTATCCAGTAATTAACATTTAAAATTAATTAAAAGAGCACCTCATTCTTGTGCCATCTCTCTTCATTTTGGTTTTTGTATAGTTTTTAAATTTTTAATCTGCATTGTTTTAATGTTTTAATATGTTTTAATAATTTTTGTATTTGCTTTATAGCATGTGAGCTGCTCAGAGTCATCTTATACAGAAGATAAGCAGCATATAAATTTAAAATAAAAAAATAAATACTGAAGATATTCTGAGTATAGCAAACAAGATCTGGTCTTCTCACTGTAGTTTGGTGCATTAAAAAAAAAATTGGAAGCTGATGAAAAAGAAAGAAATTACACCAGCTCAACGATCTGTGATGTTGGAAATCATTCTCCAAGATAGTAGCATTTTCTATGAATTTAGAGGTAAACTTCAAAAAACTGTACCAGCCAGGACACCCTCCGAATTCCCATAAGATGGCAACCTACATGAAGGAATAATGGGCGGAAACTGAACAAGGAGAGATTCAACTTAGAAATAAGGAGAAATTTTCTGACAGTGAAAGCAGTCAACCAATGGAACAGTTGCCTTTGGAAATTGTGGGAACTTCATCACTGGAAGCTTTTAAGAAGACACTGGACTGCCATCTGTCAGAAATGGTGTAGGGTCCCCTGCTTGAGCAGAGGGTTGGACTAGATGACCTACAAGGTCCCTTCCAACTCTGTTATTCCATTATAGGTAGTCTTATAGGTAGTCCTCAACTTACGACCACAATTGAGCCCAAAGTTTATGTTGTTAAGTGAAACAATTGTTAAATGAGTTTGCCCCATTTTATGACCTTTCTTGCTATAATGTCAAATAAATCATTGCAGTTGTTAAGTTAGTAACCCAGTTTGCTAAGTGAATCTGAATTGCCCATTGAATTTGGTGATCACATGACCTTGGGACACATCAATGGTCATAAACATGAACCAATTGTCAAGTGTCTGAATTTTGATCACATGATCATGAGGATGTTGCGAAGGTCATAGTTGTGAAAAACGGTCGTAAGTCACTTTTTTCAGTACTGTTGTAACTTTGAACAGTCACTAAATGAACTGTTGTAAGTTGAGGACTACCTGTGTTATTAAGGCTTGTTCTGGGCTGTCTTGACTGCAACCGCCTCAAGAGGGCAGTGGAAGCATGCTACCTATGATTTACTAGTACTGAATCCTCAAAGAACTGGATTAGACTTTACAACCTGGAAAGAAAGTAGGTTATACCTGTTGAATTTCAGCTTGTTCAGTTGTCAAAGATTGGGAGTGTCTGACCTAGGAAAATCATCTATTGCATTACTAGTTGAGTGTGAGATGTATCTGATCCTGAATATAAGTTAATTAATCAAAATACTCTAATGAGCTCAGTCTTGTGTGAAAGGAGAGCAGTCCATCGAATGCCTCATTTACAAGTCAGATTATATCCAGTGCATTGAGAAAGTATTTTGACCCACTGCACTTTCATCAATTTTGTTAAGCTGCAGCCTGATTCTACAGTTGTTGGAATTCATTTTTTCCTCTACACTTAGTACCCCATAATGACAAAGTAAAAACAGAATTTTAGAAATGACTGTAACTTTATTAAAAAGAAAAAAAACTGAAATATCACATTGGCATAAGTATTTAGACCCTTCACTCAGTAGTTCGTTGAGGCAGCTTTGGCAGCAATTATAGCCTGGAGTCTTTTTGGGTATGACGTGACAAGCTTTGCACACCTACATTGGGGATTTTCTGCCATTCTTCCTTGTAAATCCTCTCAAGCTCAGTCAGGTTGGATGGCAACTGTCAGTGGACAGCCACTGTCAGGTCCTTCCAGAGATGGTCAATAGAGTTGAAGTCAGGGCTCTGCTTGGGCCACTCTAGGACATTCACATGGTTGTCTGTAAGCCATTCCACTGTTACCTTGGCTGTGTTCTTAGAATCATTTTCATGTTGGAAATGAACCTTCGGCCCAGTTTGAGGTCCTGAGCAATGTGGAGCAGGTTTTCATTGAGGACATCCCTGTACTTTGCCCCATTCAGCTTTCCCTCAACCCTCCTGCTGAAAAACACCCCCACAACATGATGGTGGCACTGTTCACTGTTGGGCAGATGATGAGCGGTGTCTGGTTTCCTCCATTTAGAATTGAGGCCAGTTCAGTCTTGGTTTTATCAGACCAGAGAATCTTGTTCCTCATGGTCTGAGAGTCCTTCGGGTGCTTTTTTTGCAAACTCCAAATGGGCTTTTGCACTGAGGAGAGGCTTCCGTCTAGTCACTCTGCCATAAACCCCAGATTGGTGGAGGGCTGATTGTCCTTCTGGAACATCTCCACACAGGATCTCTGGAGCTCAGTCAGAATGACCATCAGGTTCTTGGTCACCTTTCTTATTAAGGCCCCTCTCCCCTGATTGCTCAGTTTGACCAGGTGACCAGCTCTTGGGAGAGTCTGGGTTGTGCCAAACATCTTACATTTGAGAATTCTGGAGGCCACTGTACTTCAGTGCAGCAAAAATTTTACTATAGCCTTCCCCAAGTCTGTGCCTTGCAATAACCTTGTCTCTGAGTGTCTCCAGGCAGTTCTTTTGACCTTAGGGCTTTTGCTTTTTTATAGTATGCATTGTCAGCTGTGAGGCCTTCTATTAGATCACTTATCAGAGATGCTGGAAAAAAAAGGGGCTAATTAGCAGGATGATGGACAATGGACAACTTTTATTATCCTTTCCTGTGTACTGACTCTGAAAAGAGCCAATTGCTTTTGAGGTGGAAGCAGATTTATTTTTCTAGAAGGTTCCAATTTCAGAACTGCTCACCATCGAACTCCTGCTACTAGGGTAGAGATTAAAGAGACATTTTCAGAAATATCAACAGGAAGAATTCATTGGCAATTTCCTGGCCAACTTATACCATTTTGCCTCTTCAAATTTTCCAGAATCATCTTATGACCCTTAGATGAACTCTAGAGCAATTAGGACCATAAGATCTCAGTTCTAGCTCTCTTTGTCTTCTTCAATTTTGAATATTTTAGAGATACTGTCTGTTTAAGGTTCAATTATAAAAGCTCTCCTTTAGAAGACCCTATATGTATTGGAACTTTGGTGAGGAATTATGGAATGGGGTGGAGAGATATTGCAGCCAAAAACATTGGCTGGCAGGCTGGCATAATTTCCATGGATCAAGGGAGATCATGAGATAACCAATGTGCAGTCTGGACAGCAGCTCCTTGTTAAAAATTGCAGAAGCTGACAATTTTTGCACCTGTCTCAATATTTGAGCTGCCAGGAATCTGGGAGAGTCTAGGACAATTTGCCCCCGCTAACTCGCCAATGGCAAGTCAGGAAAATTCAACACAGGATAACTCAGGAGAGGGACAAGTGAATTGCAGTAGACCTTATTTCTTGAATAAGTTTGAACCTTTTCAAATTAGAAGTCTTCAAGGCTGGGTAAGCTGCAATTCTCCTTGTCCTTCTCTTGAGTTATTCCACATTGAATTGTCCCACAGCAAATTGTCCTGTGGTAAATTGGCCCTGGTAAGTTGTCCAGTGGTGGGATTCAAATTTTTTTACTACCAGTTCTGTGGGTGTGGAAGGGGAAGGATACTGTAAAATCTTCAATCAGAGGTGATATTTGCCGATTCTCTGAACTACGCAAAATTTCCGCTACCGGTTCTCCAGAATTGGCCAGAATTGTTGAATACCACCTCTGAAGTTGTCCCATTCCATCCTGGGATTTCATTTATCTTACAAATGTGGTATAGTTTATATGGACATTAAGCTGTGCCTTCCTCATTTCTTAATCATTTTGGGAAATAATTAATCTACAAACATGGATACCTTATGCAGTGAAACAAGCCTTTGAATATTACAAAAAAACAAAAAAAAGATTTTCAGGGTTCAAGAATGTTTAGCAAAAAACTTAATAAAAAGATTTAAGAAGTTTTCAATATGCATAAAGGGAACAATAACTTTTAACTTTTTTTATAAATTATTTTTATTTTAAACAAAAGTGCCTTAATATAAATTTAGCTAGTTAAACAGACCAGGTCTTCCTGGGGATACCTTTTGTTTATTGTTAAAAAGTGCATCTTGTTGGTGGACTCTATATAACAAACGATAGGATAATGAACTAGACCACCAATTCAGATTTTAAAGACTAATCTGCATTTGAAATGAGAGATTTTTATTTTGGAATTAATGGATAAACAGCTGGGAAAAAATAAGAGAATGTTGTTTTTATATATGGTAATCACAAGTGAGATTATTATATGCTCAAAAGTGAAAAGCTTGGCATTACTCTGAGGAATGGTGGATGAAGATGTTGGAAGTTACACAGATGACTAAATTAGCTTCTTTGATTAGAGAAAAGACAACA